GGCCCGGGCGCGCTGCGCTGTGGGGAGCAGGACGCTGAGGTGAGCCGTGTCTGCAGGGTGAAGGGTCTGGGAGGAAACCGCTGCTGAGAGGGACCCTGGGGAGGCTGCACAGCTCCGTGCTGAGCAGTTCATCACCAGGGCTTACCTCTCCCAGGCTCACAAACGGTCATAACGGTTTAAACCCACCCAGCTCGACTCAGAACTGGAGGCACAATTTATAGCCTCTGTGATTTAGCACATCACTTCCAGGTCCTTCCGTTTTGTGTCCCTTTCCGTAGGTGCTTGCTGAGTCCAATCCTGGCCGATACGGCTTCCTCTGGCGCTGGTTTGATGAGGTCTATGTCCTGCTGGATTTGCTGCTCCAGCACCACTACCTGTCCAGGTGCAGCGCCTCCTTTTCTGAAAACTTCTATAGCCTGAAGAGGGTACCGATGGGAGATCACAGACAGCAAACCCTGGCCACTGCTGGCCTGCCAAAGAGCCAGCACTGGAAGTCTCTCCTCTTGCTGGTTCTTGCTCCTTACCTGAAAGGCAAACTGGAGAAACTAGTATCCAGCCTGAGGGAAGAGGATGAGTACTCCATCCACCCTCCGTCGTCATCCTGGAAGCGCTTTTACAGAGCCTTTCTAGCTGCCTACCCCTTTGTAATCATGACCTGGGAGGGCTGGTTCCTTATCCAGCAACTGTGCTATATCCTCGGGAAGGCTCAGCATCATTCACCCATGCTGCGGCTGGCTGGCATTTGCCTTGTCAGACTGACTGCAGAGGATATCCAGGCCCTGGAGAAGAAATTCACTGGAGCCACCTCAAGTCAAACACAGAGGTATGTCAGAACATGGCTCAGGAGCTGCTTTCTAGGGAGTCTGTGGGTGTGTTAATTTAGAAGTGATGCTGCAAGTAAAACTGCTGTGTTCTCCAGAAATTCTTGAAGATACAGTTTACCTCTAGCAAAATGTGCTCCAAAAGGGTATATCATTAGTGTAAAGAAGGAAACGAGTAGCAGGCATTAATTTCACATCATCTTGTGGTAGTAAAATTGCCATGTTTGGGGAGTCTTTTTTGGCACTCCAGACTTTATCCTGTTCAGTCTTTACCTGCACTCTTCTAAGTGCAGTAGACTGAAACTCAGCTCTTTGATTTTTTCTGAGCAGCAACTAGTCATGACCATGCTTCATGTCCTGGAGAATGATGATCCATGAGTGAAATGCTCTGAGGTCAAGATCCCCTCAGTGCAAATTCTTCCAATTTAGACATCTGAACAAAGCAGGACTTGAAGCTTTCTTAAAATACAAAGAATGTGGAAGAAACATCCTAGCAGATGCCTCATTACAAACATAGGATGTGTTCACCAATGTCCTTAGCATTAGGAAGCTGTATAAGGACCTGACACTCCCCGAGTCCTCTTCACCTTGGTTTGCAGATGGACAATGTGCAGTAGTAACGATTTCTCCACATCTTCTCTCTCTTGCAGCATTAAAACACAAGTGCTGTCAGCAGTGAGGAAAGCATTGAGTGGCATTGCCTTCTCCCTGTCCACCGGGCTGTCCGTCAGCGTCTTCTTTCTCCAGTTCCTGGACTGGTGGTACTCCTCAGAAAACCAGGAGACGATCAAATCTCTGACAGCACTCCCAACTCCTCCACCCCCCATGCACCTTGACTACGGGGCCGGCTCAGCTCTCTTACCCAAACTGAAGACCGTGTGCCCTCTGTGCCGCAAAATTCGTGTCAACGCCACAGCCCTGTCCACCTCCAGCTACGTGTTTTGCTACCGCTGCGCGTACAGTTACGTGAAGACTCACCAGCGCTGCCCGATCACAGGCTACGCCACAGAGCTGCAGCACCTTGTCAAACTGTACTCTCCCGAGAGCTGAAAGGCCTGCCCCGTGCTTCCGGAGAGACACGGCTCTGTGGCTAGCGGCTGGGTAGCAGGGAGCTTAACTTCACCCCTGCTTATGTCCCATAGGAGACTCTCAACCACTGCAGCTCATCAGTGAGCATTAAATCTCCTTTGAACTTGGCGTGGTGTCAGAGTTTTGCTGCCTTTGTGAATTCTGGTGAGGCTCTGCCCTTTGTTTGTTAGCTGTTCAAACATCCTGTGACAGTTTCAGAGGGATTGGACAGACAGCCACGATCTGTCAGCCAGCACAGAAATGCTTTCAAAGAGGAACTGAAAAGGAAGAACGTTGGTTTGGATAAGAGGAATGCAGATGTGAGGATCAAAGAGCATCCCTAGTAAAAGTCCTGCTCGAGGGCATGAGCCAGCAAATTAGAGAGGGAGGGAAAATTCCCTAGGTGAGTTATTTCTCCTGTAGCAGCTTTCCAGGCGCTTGTGCTGCCTGGGGCAAGCTCTGGCACCAGTGCCCATCAGAGAGGTAGAGACAGGCTTAAACCTCTGCTCTGACCATGCTGTTCTTAGGTCTCCCTGCCTTTTCGGGCTACTCGCCTTTGAATTGAGAACATCACACCCCTAATTCCCTTCAGCAGTTCTAAATTAAGACTTTTGACTCTTTAAAAGAACAGGGGGTGATGTGTGCAAACAAGGATATGAGAGGGACATAGCATTTTCTGCACAAGGGAGGAAAATGACAAACCAGATTAATCCAGCAGCCGTGCTGAATTGTGAGAGTTGGGCTTTGTTAAATGTCTTTGAAACTGTTATTATCTGCTTTTATAAAACTTCTTGATTGAGAACCTAACTTCTTCTTTTCTGAGGATTGGAAAAACCTGAGTTTGCTCCTCTAGGGGCTCTGTTTTCATAAGGGAAGCCAGACTAAAGCTGCTTTCGTCTTTGCAAATGATGCTAGTGCATATAAGATTAGTCTTGTAGGCTGGGAATCTTTAATGTCTGTGATTGATTTAAGTATTACATTGCAATTATTCCCCTCCCAGCCACGTAGCACGTTGTATCATGAGCATCCCTTCACTGAACAGAGGAGAACAGAAAGCATGTGTGATGTTACAGCTGGTTCTTGCTCCCCCCTGCCTTTTCACGCAGGCAGGCTGTTCCCTGGCTCAGCTCTCAGGAGCAGCAGTTTGCTGCTCCAAGCACCACGGTGACTTGGCGTAAATGAGTATGAAGAGCAGAGTTTGCTGCACAAAGTACATGGTCTTTCCAGACTGAGATATGTTCTAACGTTTAATCCGCGACCTCATTTCCCCCCCCACTTCAGCTCTGCTTCAGAAGAGAAAAATCTCTAATATCCTCCCTCACCTCTAAGCAAGATAGCCAAGTTACTGTGTTTTCCCAGGTTATTCAATAATTTGCATCCTCCCAAAGACGGAAACACCTACTGTAACAAATCAGATTTGTCCCCAGTGCTTGTCTTATTACCTCTATACAACTTCCAGACCCTTCTACCTGTGCCACTCTGGAATAATAATAATATCTGCCCCATTTCTCCTTTCTTCAGTAGTTGTGGCATACATAAAGACACCTCTCTTCCTTCAGAACGCCAGTAAGAGTACACACTTCTTACTGGAAAACAAAGCACATCAGGTGTGAGATTTCCTGAGACTTCAAATCACTTTTAACATAGCTGGCTTTGAGTTCACATCACTTGCTACACCAGGTTTGCTTCATACACAGAGATCATCTCTCATGAAAAACCAGCACCCAAGATGCTCCACAGTCTTCTAATAACCCAATTAGACACACATTGGCCTGGTTGGTTGTCCTGACTCCAGTGCAGCCACTTGTTTAAATAAGCACTGAAGGGTTTGCCTGAGAAGCTGGTGTCAGGATAGGTTTATTTTCCTTTTATCCCTCCTATACTTTCCAGATTCTCTGGCTGCTGCTCAGCGAGAAGCTGGGCAGACCTGAGATGGAAGACTGAGGACGCTGCTGCCCCCACCAGCACTGCAGAGCTCCTGGGCAAATTCTGCACCATCCTCCCCTCTAATCCAGGGGGATTGACTACCTGATGAACAGCACAAGAGGGTCTCTGCCCCTCCTTCTCCCAGGGTGGCCCACCCATCAGGCCCTGGCTGCCTTGCACTCCACCTCTCCTGACACTACACTGCACTGCAGCCTGTCCTGCCAAACTTGGATTTGGCCAACTCCATGGCAGCTCCGAGACCTGCACAGAACCACACTTCAGTTACTGCTGTTAATTACTCTATTGAATGCTAAATTGCTCTTTAATGCCTAGCTAACAGGCACACCACCACAATGACAGGCTCAGCAGTTACCTGGCCGATTTTGTGACTGTTCCTGCAGAATACCAACTTGGATTTGACTGTTTCTCTAATCCTCCTGTCCTTACTAGCCAAATAAATACCTGTTCATGGGGTTTATTGTCCAAAACAAACGGTATGAAACAGATTCTGGTTATACAAACATTCCCATTCATCTGTTTTTTAACTGTAGTCATGTTATTAAAGCCACAGTGGTCTAAAGATAGGCAAGAAAAGATTTTTTCCCAAGGAACACCAACTTTATTAAACCAACCTTTGGACTTACACACTAATTTGTGACTTTATACAGCCATGTATCATATGTGCATTTGGATGTGTTGTTCTGTTGCTTGATACAATTCCATCCACATTAACAGCAGCACTGGACTTGCCCAATATATTGGTGTCAGAACTTGACTTTACAAGTCTTTTAGAAAATGCTTAGTGAAATATAGAGAGTCTTAAAGAAATCAGTGCATTAGCAACAGAGTTGCTTTCCCTGCTTCCTTAACAGAAACCACATGGCTTCTCCTATTAAGAGAAAACCACTATGCTCCTAGGTACATACTCCCCGTAGAAGCGTCCTTCTCCACAGGAAGAGAGGTAAAGCTGACACCAAGACCTGGAAGAGAATAAAAAACTAGATTAGAGAATAGGTCCGTATCTTTTCCTGCACTTGCATGATTAGCCCAGCCTTTCCCCCCCAAGCCCAAGCCCTCAAAGGGCTGCACTTCATCCAGAGCAGAGCACCAGATCCAAGCCTGACACCATAACCCACTTCCAAAACCATTCCTGCCTGTATGCTGGCAATCACTACAGGAGAATGCGGCTGAATCAGTGGGTCTGTAGGACAGACAGCCCAAAATCCCATGTTACGGAGTCTGCACTGCATTTACAGAGGAGATGGAGTGGCAGAGTATCTGGGGTTCCATAAGCCACATTGCACGTTGGAGAATAAACAAGAAACCCCTCTCGCTGCAAGCTCAGTACTAAACCCAGCGTTGCAGCAAGATACGCAAATCCAAACAAGTATTTGCACTCCTCACTTTTCAAATCAAGGTTTGGGTTTTCTGCTGGTAAAAGAAATTGCTAAAAATCCTTAATATTTTTGCAATATTTTTTAGGGTGCATCCAAAAGGTTTCAAGAAGCAGCAAAGCCGTTTACTCTAGATGAGCTTAGCCTAAATAAGCTCAGAGAGAAGATTACATGATCATGCCCTGGTCAGAGCAAAGACACGGAGTCTCCGCAATACCAGGTCAGAGTATGCTTCACTCATCATTGCTTTGGGCAAGTTTTCCGGTCAGTAAGGAACTCGCTCCCAAGTCAGGAACTAGAACAGGTTCTAACAAACACACGCACCCCTCTCCAGCCCCAAACACCACAGATTAACTTGGGTTCTGGGTTAATTCTTTTCAAGATCACGTGGCTTTCTACAAGACAGGGTTTGCAGTAAGTTAACATTGACCCCTGGGAGATGAGACAGGAGAGGCTGTTACAAAACTGAAAAACTGAGCCCCGAGTTGCTACTTCTACCTTCCGTACCCACCTCCAGCAGCAGAGATGTCGTCTCTCCACACAGAGCTTGGGTTTTCAGCTGTGTGTGTGAGAAAGCCATGTTGGTAGAGTAACACACACAAACCTTCCTGTTTCCCCATCCCAAACACCATTAGCTCAGCCAGCAAACCCCCTCCTGACACATCTATACAAAATGCGACCCCACACGGCACGGGAGACTTCAGACAGGAGCTGTGGGTGATCCGCAAGCACGCAACAGCTCAAAGGAGCTGGTTTAAGTTTTAGGCTCATCCATGAATTAAGGGTTTGGGTTTTTCCTCCTTATCCCCTCCTACTGTTACAGATAACGAGGGGATGAAGGACATTTAGCAAGGGAGCAAGGTAAGGGAGGGGGGTGACATGCCCGATAGAACGGAGATGGAGCTAGGGAAGGCAGGAGTTGGGATTCCAGGGAGGTCGAGGAGAGCCAGTACCATGCAAAAAAACCGAGAAAAAACTGTCATACCTATAAATGCTGCTGGTCAGTAGCTCTCCAAGGGTCCAGATCCTATTTTGATCTAACCCTTCCCTCACACCACCCATTTGCTCCCTATTTCCCATCTCCTTCCCTGCATCCCCCTAGGCCCCTTGTTCTTCAGTGCCCAGTCTCTGGCCCCAAATGCTCTACCCCTGCCTCCTGCACCCCCCTA